TGTTACTCTCAATAATTTAGCACACCAATTATATCCTTTATTTCTTTTTATATAAATAGGATAATCATGTATTTCGTGTACAAGGAGAGAAAAATAATAAAGAAATTGTAGAAAAGTTGTAAAGAAAATAGAGAGAGATTTGTAGGAGAATTAAATGTGAAATTGATAGAATTATGAGTGTAATAATATTTTGATAATAAACAGTTCTTTACAAATCACCATAATTATATTTGTCTTTATATAACTATAATTATTACACCTCTTGCCTTATGATATTTAAAACCTCAAGTATCTTTTCTATGAACTATAGCATATCACATTGGCCCCCGCTATTCAAAGTGTTTCCCTGCTATCAGTTCTCTGTCCTATGCTGGTCTTTGAGGTTGGATTGACATATGACACTACTATATATCACTATATATAATATCTCCCCAAATATTATCCCTTACTAATAATACCAGGTAGTATTCAAGAAAATTGTTGCTTAATAATTGACTACTACCTGGGTATATTAATATAATAATAAGTAAGACTAGTACATATTTTGAATTTTATAGTAATGATATACCCTGCTACTAATACTACACCCTTCTAGTAAAATATCCTCTGGGTATTCAATTTATTAGGAAATAAATTAATTAATATCTGGGGTATTGTATGCAGTGGTATATCATAGTTAAAATTATAATATAAATTATAATTAATATTTATTAAATATTTTATTTATAAATAATATTAAAATACTTATAATATTTAAACATAATAATATTGTAATTCTTTGTTTATTTTTTTTTGCCAATAATGATTGTTTTAGCAAGAAATTTGAATAGTTTCATCTTCTAATACAAAGCAGTTTTATCATAATTAAAAACATTTTCTATATTCCAATTTCATAATAAATCTTGTAATTCTGTTTTAAATCTGGGAATTTATTTAAGAAGTGCACTGTTTCCTTCTTCACTATGAACAAATTTTTTTAGATCTGTTTTTTTTTTTAAAATTACTTAACCATCCTTCAGAAGCTTTAAAATTAGTAATATTTAAAAGCTTTGCAAATGCTTCAGCTTAATATTTTAAAACAAATCCAATTATTGTAATATTAGCTGAAGTGCATTATCTACTAATTCCATTAAAGCTATTTTATTTTATTTAAAAACCTAATAACTATATTTTATTATAAAAAAAAAAAACATATTTAATAATCAATTCGTTCATCATTGTTATTGATTATTGCTTGGCATTGATTAGGCATAGATCTGATCATGTTAATTAATGTATCACAGGTAATTTTTTCCTATTCGTCACTCAAATACTTTTGCAAATCATTAATATTTGAAGATATTCGTCTCTCTATATTATGTTTAACGATACTCTATAGATTTTCTGGTAGATTGAGGTCTGGACTATTGGCTGGCCAGTCTATGACCTCAGGAAAGTTTTTTTCCAAGAATTTCTTTATAACATGACTAGTGTGTTTTGAATTGTTGTTCTGTTGGAATCTCTACTGACAACCAAGTATTCCTTTCATTTCAGGTAAGTAATTTTGCAAAATTTCAATGTAAAATTCACCTGTTATGATCTCACTAAAGCAAAACAAATTAATCTTTCTTCTTGCGCAAAATCCAACCCAAGCAAAAATCTTTTGCCGGCTTTTAGACAAATGTCAAAAGGTCTAAAACCTTTGTACCACCTTCCAACTTTATTTCTATACAGGTCAAAGGCCATTTTATATAAAAATATCATCCTTTTCCAATTATCACTCAAATGTTTTTTTACCTATTCAACATACCTTTCTTTATGCATGTCAGTGAGCATAGGTGTACTGGTAGGGATAGCATATTTATAACCAAGGTTTTTTAAATGCATCCCAATAGTAGTGCAGAAGACATTCTCTCTATCCTCAAATAATTTGATAACTAAGATACACAACAAAACAAAACTATCCTTACGAATGTATTGCTCAAGCTTATGTGATTTTGTGGTTTTAATTTTTTTAGGACAGCTATTTTCTCTCCTGTGCGAAACATCACCAGTTTCTTTAATTTTTTTTAAATTATAGTTTATCGTTAATAGAAGGATACCAGTGATTTTGCAAAGTTTTTTGAGGGATTGTATATCTTTATATCAAAAATGTAGAATAGTTTGTTATTGCAAAGTTAATGATTTTACTACCATGTTTAAGTGAGAAAAAAATAATATTTTACTTACTATAAATAAAAATTTATGCCTCTTAAAAGTTGAATACAATTATATTAATTTGTTAGCCTCTTGACCTAAACAAATAAAGTTAGTAGATATGTTGTAAGTTTATCTAACAAGAGTTCAATTATTTTCTTGACACCCTGTATATATATTAATAAAAAAAATATAAATTAAGCTTATTAATGTAATTAATTTGTAAAATTCTTTTTTTAACAAATTCTATTTTGATTTTTATTTAATAAATTTTTTATTTTAAATCTAAATATAAATAATTTTTAGTCATATTTGAATCAAATCACAAATTGTTTCCATTATTATTTTCAGATATAATATAGAAAAAATAAAAATTATCAAGAGTAATATTCTAAGTAATGAAAATTTAAACTTTATTTTTAAAAAATTGAAATATTCTAATAACAAATAATAATTATATTGATAAATTATTTTTACTTCTGTAATAATTTCATTATTATTGATATAAATTGACTATTTAATAATAGTTTATAAATACACTTTTGTGATTTAAGTTGCTATTGCTAATATAGTTACAATAAGTTAAAATTAATTTGTAGATTATAAATTATTAATTTAATGGAAACAAATATTTAAAAAAGTAATATTTATTTGTAATAAAAAAATTTTTTTACCAAGATATAATTAATAATAAAGTTAAATAAAAATAAGGTAGTAGATATCTGTTTTGACATCTTTCTTAGTTCCAGGTTGATCTTTAATAAATTACTCAAATCAATTATTGTTACTTAAAGATTTTTCTAATAATTAAATCATATATACAATATATTGAAGACACATTAAGATAATGTATAGTAATTATTTATTGATATTTTATTGTAACAGAGATTTATACTTGTACGACATTAATAGACTTAAGTTTATTTAATACAATAAATTACAGATATGTTTTATATATTGTAACAGGGTAAGAATATGTCACATGATCGGTATCCGCGATGTGTACTGCTAGAAATCTGTTTCTGGTTGCTGGTACCCGATTGTCTAATTATGAGAAATAGGAAGGAAAGTATGAAAAAGAATTACGTAATATAATTGCCATTATTCTCTAGTAGAATATCTACTATTAATGATATAAATAATTGAAGTATAAAAAGAAAGAATGTAATGTTAAAAAAGAACAATAAATCAATTGATCAATATTGACCAAATACAGTACTGTAAACACGCCTCGCAGCTTTCATAATACTTACCTTGATTAACAGTCACGCAAATTCTATTAATTTTTAGCGACAGGTGCACAGACGACTATTAAAATATTTAAAGTATAAAGTTAATATGTCATCTTATGTAAATATTTGACTGCATATCTAGCCATGGCACATTGTGTCTCACTCGCCTCAAATGATGCGTGAATCGCAATTAGATCAAAAAAATAATGAAATAATGCTCTCAGATCATGAAATACAAAATTTACTATCGATTTTGAATTAAAATATCGATATAATGGACATCCACTATTTACCATAACCTAAATAAGATATTTCCCACAGTTGCCACTTGAATAACAACAATACATAGTCTCATCGTTATTCGAGTGACGGCTCACACTTAACCAATCATCACAAAATGACGACACACGATTAGGATGTTCTCAAGACCTTAATCAATGAATTATGAAAAATTTTAACAAAATAAGATTGTGGAAATAACTTGATTACATATTTCAATAAATACATATACTGTATATAGTTTGTATAAGCATTTTTTTTTTCGATTGGTTAAATTTTATTATTGGTGGAGTATAAAAACCAATCGCTTAAGCATTTAATGCCGTAAAATTATTTTCTTTAATTTATTGTGAATAGAAAAACGAACATTGTCATCAACGTAAAACACGTTCAATTATTAATTACGATCTTTATATTCATCGAATATAATCATAGAGTATTATCACAATTAATCGCATTGATTAAGATTGTTGAAAACACCCTTAATATCATCGTCACACTTGAGTACTGTAGTCATAACCTAGACTAAGTTAAATAATATAAATAATATAAATATATTATTTCCATCCAATATATTGTCGTATCCATAAATTAGAAAGATGACATGTTGAAATTTTTAAAATAACGATTTTTTTTTATATTTGATATTTAATACAAAACATCATATTTTTTTTGTTTGAATTGGTATACAGTACAAAGTATTTACGATCTACTGTAGTGTTTTTGCGCGATTTTATTTATTCCATTTTAGGCACTATACAGGATTCATCACCTATAAAGAAACAATTACCTTTTAGAAACCTGATCTTTTATTGATCTATCGACATTTGTAAATTGTGTGATTCCTAGCCATTTTTAGATGTACTTTAGTTCTTTACATACCGTACCTTGATTAACAATCATATGCTCACAACACCTAGAATCTCATTTAACGTTAAATATTCCCAGATGTGTGCTAATAATGGCAAACGAGATTTATAGAATAACGACGCCACCGTAACGACTTGCAGAAACATGCGATATAAATGCAATTAATAATAGATTTGAAATTTTTATATAAACCTTATTTTATAAGGAGGGATTCTTCATAGAAAAATTCTATCGTGAACTTTCATTTTACAGTACTTATATCTCGTATTTGACTACGTACAGATATAATCTTCTAAATAAAGTAGAAGAGTACCCTTTAATTTTATTCAGAGTGAATTCTATTATGCCAGAAATTAGAAGTGTGTTATTAATAGGAAAAGCCGGCAACGGAAAATCTACCTTAGCAAATGTTATTACTGGAACCGATGGGTTTAATGAAAGCACAAGTCGCATTCGCGGAACCACAGAAGTAAAATCTTTGGTATTCGAACACGAAGGGATAGAATATCGTATTTTTGATACTGTGGGAATTGGAGATCCTATCAAGCCAATAGAAGAAATATTAAGTAAATTAGGAGATGAAGCTGATATTATTGGTGAAGGTTTAAATCAAATATTATTTGTGACGAGAGGCCGTTTTACTAAGGAGGAAGTTGAGGCTTTTAAATTGCTGAAGAATATCATTTTTGATGAGCAAGTAACTGGTTATACGACTATTGTTTGCACTGATTTTCCGGACTTCGAAAATGATGAAGCCTGTGAAAAAGACCGCCAATCATTTCGAGAGGAAATCAAAAATCTTTCAACCGAACTTGCTTCAACTAACATTATATACGTAGACAATCCACCAATAAAAGGTCGTTATAAGTTATTGAGTAAAGATTCACGAGAAGCATCTCGCAGAATATTACTGGAACACTTGAAAACTTGTCAGGAAATTTACCGGCCTGAACTGCTTGCCAAATTTAGTCAAATGATTGGTGAATTCAATTCAATTATAGAAGATACCAATAAAGCGATTGATATCACCGATTCACTACTTATTGAAATAATCTATTATTTAAGTAAATTCCTTTCTGAACGAGAAAGAATTATCAAGGTGATTGAAGAAAGCAGAAAAACATTAAAAGAATATATGGAAAACCGATTTACAGCTAATACTGTAGGTAATACTGGTATATTGGCAGGTAAATTTTTGGCAATTGCGGGAATATGGTTCCCACTCGCTTTGGTGCCAGGTGCTATTCTATCAGTTGGTGGTTGGCTGAGTGCGACTAGCACTGATTCTATTGCAATAGTAAAGGAGGATGAAGCATATAAATTATTCGAAGAAAGCCTTATTAAAGATAAAGAAAAATGCGAAGCATTAGAAAATTTCCAAATAGAATTAAAGAAATCTTTAACAAGATTTAAAGATATATGTCCTCGTTTTAAGGATTCAAAATACAAGAAACAAAAAATTGATAGAAAAAAAATTGTCGCAATTAAAAACGTACTAGAAAGAATGACGGGTGAAGAAGTTGAAACGGATGTAAACTTAAGAAGAATCGAAGAAGTTTGTCATTCTACCGGCTTCAAAATAGGTAGAGCCGCTTTGGAAGCTATTTGTAAACTTGTACCTTCCCCTATATCACTTTATTTTATTTATCGTGATTTCAAAGAAGTGGACCAGCGTGCCTCTTTGAGTGATATGGAAAATACAATTAACAATTGGAAAGAAGAGTTAGAAACTTTAAAAGAAAAAAAACAATTATTGGAGAAGGAATATCAGAATGTTGTATTATGCAAAGAAGAAATGGCAAAAATATTATCAAATGTTGAAGACGCAAACTTTCCTTTTAATTTAACGGACTAACAGCTCTCTTAGGCTTTAATCTTCGTTCGTAAGTTATATAATAATAACAATTTCCATACTTTCGGAATTCCTGATTAAGTGGCGTAGGTGACGCCGCGATCCAATTATTCCGTAATTGAATCTATGAGGGGTTGTGGGATAATAGGATCTTTGGGATCTTTGGGAAATTAGCTAGGACATCGGGATAAAATTGGGATATATGGGATTTTAGGGATATTGGTAAAATATATATAGTATATATGTTACATGTAAAGAAAAAAACAAAGATGATAACAAATAAATAAAGTTTTCTATTTAAAATGACATACCATCTTACGCACACTCACTTACCTCGCGCCAGATTTAAACGTCTCTTTCTCCGTTACACGATCAGCGATCGCAGACTCGCCGATTACACTCCCAACAGTATAGTATAAGGCAATAAAAATGACTGGTATTAGTGTAGAATCGCGTAATTATTAAATTTTATTTAAGACATATGAACAATGTAATTGGATAGTTGTCACATTGATGTCTGACTATGGTTCTTTGTTTTCCTTAGGCGTATTTTTTGAGTTTTTCCAAGATTATCAAAAAAGGAAATTTTAGGATTTTGATAATAATAAATAACGATGGATGGGTCCGTGTACATAGGTTCTCGTAACATAAATAAAAACTATTATGTATTATGTACAGTATACAAAATCTTTGCACTAAGGTAGACTCATTAACAAAGTTATTTAATTACTGTAAACAAAACTCTCGAATTTGGCGTACTTACATGACTTGTTACGTTTTTTAATGATTCTATAAAATTAATACATAAAAAAGAGACCGTGTCAGAAAATAGAAATACTATACAAACATCAACTGATTCTTTTTAACGACTAAAGGTTAAAATTTAAAAGTCTTAAAACTTTCGAAAATTTATACCATCCGAATAATTGCGCTATAATTATTATATTAATTCACTACAGTTAATTTGGTACAATTTTCTGATTTTTTATTTGCCAATTATATATACATAACATGCATAAAAAATTGTTTTCTCGGAAACGATGTTAGTCTTTAAATTTTAATTGTTTTTTAGAAAGAAAGTTGCAGAAATGATAAATAAATATATGCAATTTTTGATAATTGTAAAAAAACTTTTTACAATTAATTTTATTATTTTTTAATTAAAGTTATAAATATTAATTATAAATATGTTATTTTATTTAAATTCTATTATTATAATGTAATAATACTATTATTTTATGATTTGAAATTATATATACATTGTAAAAGAAATAAATACCTCATAAAATTGTATCAGCAAGTTAGATTTCTGAATACTCCTACTACTATATTTAAAAATATAGAAAAAAATTTAATTATTTTATACAGGTTGATCTTCAGGTCATTATTAGAATTTATTGTACATGCTTTTCAAAAATGAAATAGGTGAAATCAATAAATAATAAATAATATAATATCATACTTATTTTTATCTAATATTTATTGCTATTTGGTTAATTTCTATATTTATTTTTGTAATGATTTTAATTTCAGAATAATCTTTTTATTATTGATTTATATTTATACAGTATTTTTGTAATTTTAATTATTAATATTACTTTTAAACCCTTTTACTTAATTAACTTTATTACTTTAAATATGTTATCAAAGTATTCATTATAATAATTATAAATATATAACAATTTTGTTAAAACTAGTGATATATTGGATAAACTAATAAAATTCTTAAATATTGATAAAATTTTAATAATTTTTTAAACAAATAATAAAAATTTGTTAATTTAATACAAACTTATTAAAAATTTTATTACTATTACAAATTAATAAATATTAATAATATAAATTATATAAATTATTTGTTTCAAATTATTTATTTTAATAATATTATAAATTTAATTTTTTTAACTTAACAATAATTAATTACTCTTATTAATTCAATATACAGTGTTTAGAGTATAATTAGCAAGTCTATTACTATATCATGATCACCTATTGTATAATATTGAATGGTTACATGTGAATTGTAATATAAGGTAGGTGAAAATACTAATATAAGCTGAATATTTATAAAAAGATCTTTTATTATTTTTCTTTCTCTAATACATTTTTTTCTCTTTTATATATGTAAAAAAATTTCTAAAATCCTACAAGCCCAAATTAAACCTAAATTGAATAAAAACATTATATATTTATATCCCTTAATTTTTTTAATCTTTTTACAATAGTATTTAATTTTAATTATCAAATATAAAATAAATTTAAAAATATAAAAATATAAAATATAAAACTTTTTTAAAAAAATTAAAATATTAGTTAATTAATTACTGTTAAAACTATATAATATTAATATTGTTTTACAAATCATTAAAAAAGTTTATAATAATAATAATTGCAAATAATAAGCATATTTTAATCAAAATGGTTTAAACAATATTAATTTTGTTGTAATTTAAATATAAGAATATAGAGATAGATAACAAATATGATTTTTTAACATTATTAAGAATTTATATGTTAGTATAATATAATATTTAAAAAAGAATTATAAAGAATAATTTGTATAATATTTTTTTCATATAATTAAAAAAGCAAAACTTTCAGTTTGTATGGTTTTTAATTAGAGGTTTTATTTTAATATAATAGTATTTTTTGAAATCATTATATTTTTGGATATAAAGCTCATTTTTCTTAAAGAATAAAAAGTAAAATATGCTACTTGAAAAAAATTATTTTAAATTAATAATTTGTAAATATAAGTTTTTTTTAAAAAATATTTTGAAATAGATAAAAATAATATAATATATATAATATAAAAACAATATAAAAATTGTAAATTAGAATTTATTTTAAGTTGACGATATTATTATAACAAGATAAACAAAATACGTTTATACTATAGAAAAGTTTGATTGCTTATATTAACAAAACCAATTTATTAATAAACTCATTTTATAACTAGTATTTACTAGATTAATTATAAATAAAAATCAATTCTAAAAAAATAAAGTACATCAAATTAATGTAAACATTTACCAATAATAAATAAATAAATTTTTTTATTGATTTTTGATTTTTGATTTTTATATTAAATGGGTCTATCAGAACACGAGTTTATTCATGTAACGGAGTAAAGCAAACGACAATAAAATTCGCGATATTAGTTGCTTATATTAACAACTGTTCTTTGTTCCTTGTTGTTTAAAATCTTTTTTATGTTTTAAAATTATCTATTGTAAAGGGGTTAAAAATTTAATTGATTCAGCCATATGATGTCCTCGCCCAATTAGGGTTTAATTGGAGCTTGAGGGATTTTTGGGATTTTCTCACACGTATAAAAGAGAGATATAATTGTATAGCGAGAGGACGGGCAATAAAGACCTTTTTATAAAACACTCAGCTCCATACATAGTACTTACACTTACCTCGTGCCATATCACACGCCTCTATTCGACGCTACACGATCGACGATCGCGTCATAGTGACGACTCACCGTTGCACCCCCGACACTATCATGTCAAATATAAAAAAGAACATATAAAAATCTAAATAAAGTTAAAAGGCAAGTTTTAAAAGGCTTCGACCAAATCGTATATTCTACTACGCTTAACCAAAACTTAATCATGGCTACGCAAAACTCTTCCTTTTAGCGACAAACTCGCTGATTAGCAGTGACAATATTTCCGTATTTAATTTATTTGGATTGATAAGGTTCCTAACGACTCCGTGATCGAATATTAGGAGTTTACAATCCACTTGTGATTTTACATGGTGCGCGATTTTATTTATTCCATATCGGGAGCCTATGCAAGAAGGCTTTAGTCTAAAAGGAAACAATTGCCTTGTTTTTTTTTTCTGCCCCGTAAACCATTTTTGGATGTACTGTAGTTCTTTGTACAGTATACAGGACTGTAACTTGATTATCAATCATATGATTATTGTTGTTTCTTTTATAGTTTACAGTATTATTCCGAAAGAAATACAGTATATCCCTAAATCAGATATCTTGATACACACCAAGAATCTCATTTAACTTTAAATATTCTAATAATAGCATCAATGAGTAAATGAGATTTTTGTGATTAGCAACGCCACCATAACGACTTGGAAAAACATGTAATAGCAATCCTGTGCAATAAAATATTTATATAAACCTTATTTTATAACATGGAATTTTTTATAGCAGATAAATTTTACCATAGAATTTTAATGCTTTTATATCACATATTTAACTACGTACAGATATTATCCTTTAAATTAAGTAAAAGAGTATCCTTTAATTTTATTCGGAGTGAATTCTACTATGCCAGAAATAAGAAGTATATTATTGATAGGAAAAGCCGGCAACGGAAAGTCTACCTTGGCGAATGTTATTACTGGAACCGATGGATTTAATGAAAGTACAAGCCGGGTTCGCGGAACCAAGAAAGTAAAATCTTTGGTATTTGAACACGAAGGGATAAAATATCGCATTTTTGATACTGTGGGAATTGGAGATCCAATCAAGCCAATAGAAGAAATATTAAGTACATTGGGAGATGAAGCTGATATCATTAGTGAAGGTTTAAATCAAATATTATTTGTAACAAGAGGCCGTTTTACCAGGGAGGAAGTTGAGGCTTTTAAATTGCTGAAGAATATCATTTTTGATGAACAAGTAGCTGATTATACGACTATTATTTGCACTGACTTTCAGGAGTTCGAAGATGATGAAGCCTGTGAAAAAGACCGCCAATCATTTCGAAAGGAAATTGCAAATCTTTCTACCGAACTTGCTTCAACTAAGATTATCTACGTAGACAATCTGCCATTAAAAGGTCATTATAAGTTAATGGAATCAATTGTAAAAGGTTCACGAGAAGCATCTCGCATAATATTACTAGAACACTTGAAAACTTGTCAGGAAATTTACCGGCCTGGACTGCTTGCCAAATTTAGTCAAATGATTGGTGAATTCAATACAATTATAGAAGATATTAATGAAGCGATTAATATTACCGATTCCCTATTTATTAAAAGCTCTTCTTGTTTAAGTGAACTCATTCCCGAACGAGAAGGAATAATCAAGGTGACTGAAGAAATCAGAAAAAGAGTAAAAGAAGATATGAAAAATCGATCTATCGCTAGTACTATTGGTCATAGTGTTATATTGACTGGTAAAGCTTTGGTAATTGCGGGAATATGGTTCCCACTCGTTTTGGTGCCAGGTGCTATTCTATCGGCTGGTGGTTTGTTGAGTGCCACTAGCACTGATTCTATTGCAATAGTAAAGGAGAATGAAGCATACAAATTATTCGAAGAAAGCCTTATTAAAGATAAAGAAAAATGCGAAACATTAGAAAATTTCCAAATAGAATTAAAAAATTCCTTTACTAGATTTAAAGATATATGTCCTCGTTTCAAGGATTCAAAATACAAGAAGCAAAAAATTAATAGAAAAAAAATTGACGTAATTAAAAACGTATTAGAAAAAATGACGGGTGAAGAAATTGAAACAGACGTAACCTTACGAAAAGTCGAAGAAGCTAGTCATTCTTCTGGCCTAAAAGCAGGAAGAGCCGCTCTAGAAGCTATTTGTAAACTTGTACCTTCTCCTCTATAATTTTATTGTATTTATCGTGATCATAAAGAAGTAGACCAACGTACCTCCTTGAGTGATATGGAAAATACAATTAACGATTGGAGAGAAGAATTGGAAACTTTAAAAGAAAAAAAGCAACTGTTGGAGAAAGAATATCAGAAAATTTTATTATGCAAAGAAGAAATGACAAGACTGTCATTAAATGTTGAAGACGCAAATTTTCCTTTTAATTTAACGGAATAACGGCGCTCCTGTACTTTGATATTCGTCATGTACGTATTCGAAAATTGTAATTTAGCGGTGTAAAATACGCGGGTGCTACTGTAAATAGCACAAGGCGGTAAAAAGGACCGGTATACAGTATAGTATAAAACCGCGTCACGTTAGTTTGTGGTCTATTGATTATTAAATTTTTATTTATATGATAGATGGGTCAGTGTGCATGTAGGAAATCTTTCATAAAAGTACACTCACTAATAAATAAAAATTCTTCTCGAATTTGATTGACTTCATAACTGAGGCATGAAAGCGGTCTTATTTAAAATATATTTTAAGTTCTGTAATATCAAAAAAGCAAAAATTGGAGAAATGATGATTTATTAATATATAAATATAGTTTCGTGGGTAAAAAGGGGTAGGGAAACGCGATACGCAAAATTAGTGTTGATGTGGGAGAATAGCGTAGAATAGTAAATAGATGTAAACATGTAAACAATATAAATAAATGAGTAATTTAGTAGCATTTAGACAAGTTACAGTATATTAGAGAGTGCTATAGTAATAAAACAATAAAGTAACGTTTAAAGATAACTCTTACTTTGTGTTTAGTGTGGCAAAGAAGACGTGTAACTTGGGTTACAGACTAAAAGAGAGAATCGAGGTTTTTTCCTAAGGTAATTGGCATTGGAAGGGTTCTAAGTTAGTCGGTAGAGAAGTTAAAGCCAAATAAAAGACACACTTCAATGGTTAAAAAATAAACCTACTTTATTGTTGCCGTCGCTACGATACGCGAGAAACCTTGTGCGGTGACAACAGACTCACTGATTTAGCCCACGACAATATAAAAAAATAAGTTGAATAACAAATTGAATAAATAACACATCTGTAAATTTTGCGAATAGTTTTTTTTATTATAGTATCGATTTATTTTTAATGTTAAATAAAATTGCTTAGCTTATATAATAAATTAGTGTGATATAATGAATATACATGATTTAACAAATATTCAGAAAATTATATATGGGTAATTATTTTCGAAGGCGGACCGGAAATTTTCTGGCGTGATCCTAAAATTTATACTAAACGACCCATATACAGTACAGTATATTAAATAAAATCAATAAACCTATTTTTTAATTTCTTTAAAATATTTTTTTTCATTTAAACAATAAGTGAATAAAGTTACCTGATTTTTTATTAGATATACTCTTACGATTATAATAACTTGGATTTTAATATATTGATAATTGATTATAATAATTAGTTAAATAAAATATTATATTTGAAACTTGTATAATTAAATATATTATTCTTTGAAATATTTGAATTATTATAAAATTTACAATTTCTTGTTAAACCTTAAGACTTGTTATTTTCATTAATTGATAAAAAAAATAAGATTTCTATATGATACTTGTTTAATAATTTTAAATATTGTATTATTGGTTTTTTAAAATTTGAAATTATATGTAGTAATTTTTATTTTCAAATCCAACAAAAAATTCTTTAAGTATGGTATCATATGCCAATTCAACCTCAAAGACTAGCATAAGACAGAGAACTGATAGCAAAAATCTTATTAAGTGAAAATCCTAACATAGTATATTATAGTTTATAAAAAAAACATTTATAAGATCTTTAATAATTATAAAGCAAGGAGATATTGCAATTATAATTGTATAAAGACAATTATAATTGAAAAACATTTATTAAAGAAATAAAATAATAATATTATTATTATTTAATCAATATATAATCAATTATATATTTTATTTTTAATTATTTTCTCTAACAATTTTAATTATCTTGTTACTTGTATATAAATTAAAATTCTATTATACAGTATTTATATGAAATTAATAATGTAACAATTCAAACTATAAAAACAATTAATAAATAGCTAATTAATTGTAACATATTTCTTTAATTTTTTATATTCAAAACTTGAGAATTATTATTAACTAAAATCTTATTTAATTCAATTTTTTTTATAATTACAAAACTGATAATTAAAATCTTTTTTTAAATTATAAGTAAAATTGTTTGGTTAATAAAAATATCATTAGTCAAATATTAATATATTAATATATTTGAAAAAATAACTTATTTCCATATATACCATTTTTCTTAAAATTTTTCTTTTATTATGATTTTTTTTAAAATTAAAGAAACAAATATTTTTTTATCTTTCAATATCCAAAAGTCTTTCACACTATTCTTATTTCACTATAAGAACCTAAAGAAAACTAAAAAAACATATTGATATATTAGAATAGAACCTTTGATAATAAAAAAGCAAGTTTGAAGTTCTTGCTTCTTCTTTGGATTATATAAAAAAAGATCTGTAACTGTTGCTTTTTTATAAACTTTTCTTGAGATTTCTTTTATTTTTACTTCTTATCAATACATATTTTTTATTAAATAAATAAATTTTTTTCTTGAATAGTTTTTATTTTATTCAAAAAATCAAACTTTATATCAAAATACATAACAATATATACAATACTTATTGTTCAATATTACTCAATACATATTGTTAAAAATCACAATGGTTTGATTTGAATCAGTTTTAACCAAAATCGAAACTGATCTGATTTATTTTTTTTAAACCAATCCAATTCGAAAATTGATCAGTTTTAATTTTTTGTAAACCAATTTGATCTGAAACTGACCAATTTATATAAATATAATTTTATTAAATTGTTTTATTTCAATAAATAAATATAATTAATTATAATATTTTTTAATAAATAATTTATAAAAAATTAAAAAAAAATAAATTCAAATATTAAATTTAAAAATATTTTAAAAAACAAATATTAAAATGTAAAATAGAATTTATTAAATATAATATTAAAATTAATATTTTTTTTTAATATTGAATTATTTTATCATAAATCATTTCATAAAATATCGACTGTATTCTAAATTAACAAGCAAGTCATAATTCAATTAAATTTTGGCAATTTATATATTATATAGAATTTCTATATATATATATGGATATATATACATATGAATTTATATATATATATTAAATAACACTTTTACTATACAAAGGAAAGAAACAATCAATAAAATCATTAATCAACAAATAACAAATCTTTAAGAAAACCCAAAAATTATGATCAAACAAATCCATAATCATAAAAACCTATACGCTTTCTTTACAAAAATTATTGACCCAATCAATGAAGAAGTCATAACAGATCCTATCCAAATCTATCAAACAATCACAGACCACTATAAAAAAATTTTCCACAAATGAATAATTAACAATGAACTTCTCTCCAAATGAGAAAAACATTATATTCCACTCAACAATATTAAGTTCTTGATCTACAACTCACTAATGAGTCCTATCATTAAATACGAAATTACAAAAACAATTAACTCACTTCCCAACAACAAAGCACCTGGCCCTCTAAAATCATATATCTCTTCATAAAACAAATTCAAAAAACCCTCCTTTCCTATCTTCACACAATCTTCAACCAAATATTTTCTTCTTAAGAAATCCCAACTGACTGAAAAAACTATCACATATTTCTCATTAGCAAAAAACTCCAATGAAAATACAATATTCAAGAAATGAGACCTATTGCACTAGTCAACTCATTCAGAAAAATTCTGACCAAAATACTAACCAAAAAACTCAGTCTTATCCTAACAAAACATAATATACTCCAAAAATCCAACTTTATAAGCCTTCTCAATCAAAGCATCTTTGAACCAATACAAATTCTCAACTCAATCTACAACTCCAAAAAACTCATCCAAGAGAAACTATGGATCCTATTACTTGACATAAGTGCAGCATTCAATTCAGTAAACCTGGACATGCTAAAAAAATCAATGAAAAGAATACAGTATATATACTAGAAACTTTTATCTCCCTAACCAATAACATTCTTACAAACTGCATATGCCAAATAATAACAGACCTCGGCCTCACTTAACAAATCATAATCCCTGAAGGGAATCGACCAAGGGAAAACATTATTACCTCTCTAATGAATCATCTTCTACAATCCATTGATCTCAGCTCTCATACAACAGCCATTAAACCTAAAGCACAATACTATAGCATACATGGATAATCTCAATCTCCTAGTGACCTCAAAATCTAAAATCCAAATCAACCTAAATATTGCAACAGAATTCTTCTAATTCAATGACATCAAAGCTAATCTAATAAAAACCAAACTACTAGTTATGAATAGTAAAGTCACCAACAAAAAAATTTTCCAAGGAACAATATTAATTCTTTCATCACCCAAAAAAGAACCAATAAGAATATTGGACATTTGGCTCTCTGAATATAATATTCTCACATTTAATCATGACAAAATTCTCGAAGAAATAGAAACAATTTCTCAATCACTCAAATCTAAATACACAATAGGCCATATGGCATCATACATTTACAACAAAGTTCTCCTTTTACACATAGAATATAAATTTCAAACAATCTTTCTCACCTTAAATATGCTCAAAAATCTTCAAAGGAAAATTGACTTAATAATCAAACACAAATTCAATATCAAAAAAACTCTCCCTCAGTTCTAATATTACAACCTCATATTTTCAATATCAAACCAATATCTGATCTGCAATCAAAAGTTTTAATCTCCAACTTACAATATTCCCTCTCCAACCCTACGACTAAACATAATAAGAAAGGAAAAATCCTTGCCATACAAATACAAAACTGTCAACTCCATTGTATCTTCCAAAATTAACAAATATTCAAACATAACACTACAACCTACACAATACAACTTGCCAAAAAATATAACATC